TAACGAAAACAAGCAGAGCTGGCTGCGGCAGTTTGTTAACAATGGCTTTGGTTTTGGCTTTGGTTCTGAGTCCGCGGCGGCTGAGTGTCTGTCCATGGCGGCCGTTAGGCTAAGTGCACCTTTTAAAAACACATGTTTGCATATGCCTGATTTTTCTATGTATGTGTATGCACATTTGTACGTGTGATATCCATGTGAGTATTTTTTCTATGTAATATTTATGTGCTTACTTATTTGATTGCGCCACTTCTAATGAAAGTCGACATTTACGCTAATTCAGCTGGTGTTATCCTGTGTAGGGCAGAACACATAGCAACTTAATAAGGTGCATACAAGTACTTACTTAAATATACATATGTTTATGTAGGTGTTCATTAGACCGCACCAGCTTACAAGTAATCAAAGGGAAAGTACGCCGTACACCCCTTTTTCGACGGGTTTATTACATAGTTAGCCTCGCAGTAATGTTCGTGCCGAGTTTGGTGGGTTGGTAAAGCGGTCAATTGGGTAAAGCATTTCATAAAAGTGGGCGGTGCTAAGCCAACCATTTTTTTTTTGATTTTTTTTAGCGTCAAAATTATACTTCTCATTCTAATCTTCAACAAAGTGGAACCAGTATTTTTCGAAATAATACAGTTACATGGGAGGTAGGCGTGATTACTGTCCGATCTCGTTGTCAACCTACATTGTATCTCATATTTTACATGAGTTATCGTGTGCACGGATAGACGGTCAGACTTAGCTTCATCAATTTCTCTATTCGTTCTGAGCATTTTGGTAGGTATAGTGTATGGCTATATCGGTATCGATCTAATTAGGCTGTTGCAAATAACCGTCATGTGAACAAAGTTAATATACCCTTGTGTACAAGTGCGCACGGGTTTTAGAAATACTCTCCCTTCGAGAAAAAATCCTCGATATTTGATAATTTAGGAACTGACCGTAAACGCCGGATATATGAAGAAAACCTTAAAAATGCGACCTCTACGTTGGCCAAACTTTTTTCCAAACTGACTTTGCGAACTTTTTTTGCGTGTACGCTCTAATGTACATAATTACGTACCTTTAAGAAGTGTATGTCCACACGCATGTACGCTGATTTACATGCGCTACTACACAACGCCAACATAGATACAGTTCCTATCCTATCTTCGGCATTAAGCACTCCATTGGGGAGTAACTTTTTGAGTAATTACTTTTGCAGCGGATTTGCACTGCAATGGCCAACCAAACCCCAGCCCTCTGCGCTTAACCGTTGCTCTACAAACTGCATGTAAAATCGCATGTACATATTTGCGCGGCGCGGCTACTGTGCGATGAAAAGAAAAGTGAACAAGAAAAAAAAAATGTTTTATTATTCCTCCTGGATATGAACATGCCATCCAAAGTGGCTGAGGGGCCCGCTTGCTTCGAGGCTATGTAAATGTACAACGCTAAGGCAAATGGACTATTAGGATGGCTGGCTATAACGCATACTACCCAGTGCTGGCTGTGCTCCGACTGAGCTGTCATAATACAAACGATAATTATTAGCATCGGACGACTTTAGCAGTGACTTTTAATGGCTTGTAAGCATTGACTCGACGATGTGGCGTCCACGATGCGTTGCTCGCAAGTTTCTTATCTACATGGCAGTGGTCGAGCAAGTTGGCAAACATGGTGGGACGAACCCATCTAATCCGCTGCATTTGCTTGCCTGTTCGGTATCTAAAAAAAAGTTGTGGCGTCTTTTTTTTAAGCTTTTAGCTTTCATCGCCGCTATGCCTGAATGCGATGTCACAACTTTGGGGTTAATCTAAATTTATAACTTCATTTTTTTGCCATTCAATGTTGAGCCACTCTCACTTGCTGTGTCGCTTTAATGCCTCGCCGCTCCTCTACTCGAATGCTGGTCAGCTGATGTTTACAAACTCGTGTTTTAGCAGTGCAATTGTATGGCGTGTGATAAGGAAATAAGTAATTTACTTTTTCTGCGCGAAAGTTTCACTTTTTATACGTTTTCATATTTTATGCATTTTTTTAAGCAACTTTTTGAGTTCTTGTTTTTACCAACCATGTAATAGCTATTAAATTATACGCACATTAATGTTACTCGTTCGGCGGTGAGGGGTAAGAGAGCGCACGAGGCGGATGAACTGGATATGTTCGCCATGTTTTTTGTTTTTCTTATTGAAAAGTTGAACACAACTGCTGTTTGTATGCCACACATGTGTGTGTATGTATAAGAACTCGATGTACATGTGTGAGTATACATACATACATATATAGGAATTGGAAAAGGAAATACAAAGTTTGATAATTTAATATTTGCTAATTGCACGCTGTGGTGTCTTTTGCTGGATACTCATATAAAATGAAAGCTTCGCATTTCTGTGGCTATGGCGAACAAACTTTGATATTTGGATTTTAAATGTATTTGTTGTTGTGTAAGATGAATTGCTGAAGATAACAAAAATTTTATGTCTGTATACATACTACATACATATTTATGTCTGGAATGTTTTGGGTTATACAAGAGTTAAAAAAAATATATTTAATTAAAATTGCTACTGAGCTAAAATTAGGAACATAAAATGAAAACACAAGGAGAGCTGTTTCTGGTAAAGTAGAGATACCTTGTTTATACCAACGCAAGAACCGCATTTACAAAACACCAATTTGATTCAACACATATTTTTGTAATATGGTAATAATATGATTTTCCAAAGAAAAAATCCATGTTTGGTCGATTTTACCTCATGTCGCTGGATTGAGTAGAAAGGGACATGGCCATTATGAAGAAGTGGTGTGATAGGAAATCAAACCTCCACATGCTTGCTAACTACTGCTGGACCTTGAAAGGCGTTTATATTGCGATCCACAAAAAAAAAACAAAAAATTGAGTGTTTCATTTCAGAACGAGGAAGTATTAAGAGACAAAAGACTGACTACTGATAAATCTGGGATATTGATTTTTTAATGTTGATTTTTTCATGAAATCACTTTGTTTTTAAAATCTGTTCTTAGACTGAGCTATTCGTATTCGTCGGAAAACAACTGGATGCTATTGAATTACTAAGCTTTTTTTTTTGAATTTTTCACTTATTTCTAATCAACTCATCGACTTATTTCCAATCAACTCATCAGACAAATATAATTCCCATTAATACGATTTTTTTTCTTCGGAAACACTACGTCCAAATTATATTTAACTTTTTTTGGGAAATTAGTAATATGAACCATTTTTTGACATTTCAACAATTTTTTTTTGTCTCAAAAACTGGAGGGGCTAGAAAAATTTTGTAAATTCACTACAAATCAGCATCCGTAAGTCTATAAGATGAGGTCGGCCCCGTTTTTGAGATCAAATACGACCAAATTTTGTTGAACGTGTAATCGAACACCCTAGTAAATATACAGACCATTTTGAAAAGTTCTAAACACACATAGAAGGTAAAGCCCAAAGGTAAAGGCCAAAAGTTTCGAGGTAAAAATTTCAAACACTATACTGTAGTAGTTTAATTAAAAATCAAACACATAGAGAATTAAAAAAAAAACAAATGAATGAGTAAATATCAATGTTCCTAGCTTTCTTCTTGGAAAATTCTCATATGAATGGCGATTTGTAAGTAGACACTACATGCAGATTGTTTTTATTAATTTTTTCGTTTTGTTCTCGAAAAACTGCGTACCGGGTTATCTCTGAGAAATAAAAAAATATGTTTTCTGAAAGCCTCACCACTAGAAATGTTCTGTTATCTGATTTCCAAAGTTAAGTGTTTAAACCACGTAAAGATACCAGTAAACAGCTCGATAGGTTACGAAATAATCGGCTACTAAATGAGGGCCGGTATCCAACTGTGTATGTAGACGTCCTCCATTCTGAAGCTAACAGTATCAGATTAAACTAGTCGCACGGCAGAGCGTTGCGCGCAGAACACACTTAAACATACCGCCCGGATCGACGACGGCCGCGATAATCTTATCCTTCAATAGGTGATGGTTGTAACTTTTAATTTCTCTCTGTACGCATGGCCCGAAATTTAATAATAGGCAAGGGTGTAAGGAAAAAGGCGATAAGGGTGCATCGAAAAGGAGATAACTCAATTTCAAGTTATTGCTGGGATCTAAGATTGTTGATGTTTGTTCATCGGCTGGATAAGCTGCTCTGGTGCAATGCTATTAAATGCTATCATATTGGTTCTGAAAGCACGTCTGTTTTCGCCAATTTCACCTTAAGAATAGAAACTAGTTTCCAAAAGTGCCGAAAATCGGTATCGGTAGAACCGAAACTCAAATCCAAAGAAAAGAACCCAAAAACGATTCCGGAATTACCGAAACTCAATTACAAAAAGACCGAAAAACGGAAGAACCAAAACTCGATTCTAAAAGATTGGAAGAACGTTTCCAGAAGAACCCAAAAATGAACCCGGAATAACAAAAAAAAATAAGTAACAAAAAGAATTGAACTTTCGGTTCAAAAAGAACCAAAAATTGAACAGAAAATCGGCCATATTGGCAAAAAATTTATTGTTCTGGCATAAAGTCTGAATATGGCTATTAATATATATTATTATATTATATATACATAAAAGAAAATTCTGGCTATCAACGCAGCTCAAGGTTATTTTTTGCAAGCGTATAAAATAAGCAAAAATTTGTGTTAAAGTAAAAGTGTGGTTTCAGATTTTTAGCATTAGTTCTGCTTAATTTAAATAAGAAAAAAAATTAGTTTTTATTCAAATTTACTATGATTTGTAAATGTATTAACTATTCAGTATTTTTGCATAAATAATTACTGAGCAAAAAAAATGTCGGCAATCTAATTTATACCACATTTAAGCCTTCTGTCATGTATTTGTAGTATCAAAATGTGCTTGAAAATTTTAACTACACATATTTACATATATGTATGTATGTATGTATTTTAATAAGTTTTAACAAAATTATATATATTTTTTCATAAATATTTAAATGTATAATTTACCAAACGTGCTTAATTTGGTTTATTTTATTTTCAGGTTGCAGCAACAAGCCGCCACATTAAATACCAGTCAAGTGAATCAGGAAATAATTTAAATAAATCAAAGCTTGTCAGAAATTCTCCAGAGTATTGCCTGCGGCCGAGTACGACTTGCACACCTGCTCCACTTTCGATTGCTCATCACTGTGTATGCGAATGTGAGTGCGGGTGTGTGTTTGGGTGTACGCATTCACGAGGATATATATGTCATTTTGTGGCGAAAACGTGTTAAAAATTAATTTGCATAAATAGGAAATATTTTGCATTGACAGAGCAAATATTTACAAACATATGTGCGTTGAAGCACCAAAAAAAAAAAAAATTCTGCAATAAATAATAGCGAGTCACAATTGTTGAAAAGTGCAAATTTCAACGCGTACTTAACGTGATGATATTTATTTATTTATTTGTGATAAAATAAGTAATTGATTAATAACAGTGGAAAATTAACAAATACATAACCGCAAACGAACACACACACATACATAAGCGGAAGCGGCAGCTTGTGAAAGTGTGGGTGCAAATAGTGAAAGAAGGTAGTGTGCGCCGCCTAGTTGTGTGCAGCGATATTCACCGGGAGAGCGTTTGCGCCTTTTCAAGCCACAGCTAATAAGAGGAAATGAAGTAAATTTTAAAAAGGCAGGAAACTCTTCAAAAAAAAAGGTGGCTTTTGAACGCTGAGTAAGGCTGAGCAAAAGCAGAAAAACAGCATTTTAAAAGCGTAAATTAAATAACAAAGCCACTTTGCTAAGACTTAAGCGCTTTTGTTGTTATTGCTTAAAAGCCAGTTTCTATAACACGGAAGTGGCAACACAAAGCAAGTATTAAATTGGCAGCAGAAAAAACGGCGCTTTCGTTCATAAGAGCATATACACAAACGAGAAAACAAAAGAGCTGAGAAAAAATAAAAAATAGACGGTCATCAAGCACGAAAAATAATTAACAAAAAAAAGCTGCACCGCGTACTGCATAACGAAGGCAACATTTGAGCATACATACCATACATATATACAAATACACATTCAAGTGTACCCATTTCGCTAACAATGCGCTTAATTTCGCATAGTATACATTGTGGCGCGCAAGCATATGCTGCTCGTGGCGCTGCGAACACAATCAACCAGACCACAACTACCGGTGCCACCACCGCCGCTACAAAATCCGCCGTTACGAAATCGCGATCGACTCAAGCCGCCGTGAAAACAATTGCCAGCGGAATGCGTAGTCAACGCACAGCCGACACACCATTTGCCGCTCGCATTGACTCGTCGATGCCTTTGGCTGCTTCACATTTGGTGGTTAGCTCTTTGGGGCTGCCGTCTGCAATGACGGCTTCAGCTGCTCCAACTACATCGCCATCGTCATCGTCATCGTCGCCGTCGTCGTCGTCGTCGTCGTCGTCGTCGTCGTCGTTCACTTTTACGTCATCCACTTTATCTCGACGCACCTACAGTGCATTCAGAATGAATTGCCCCATTTTAATTGTAATTAGCCTTGGTTGTATCCTGCATGCCAGTCTGCTGTGGAGCGGCGTAGCTGCAGCAATTTCAAATCGAGGTAAGTGCCAGCGACTATTGCTGCTAAGTGAATGTGTGTAAAGTTATAGGTTAGTTGCAGGTAAAAGCGCTGAAGATATTTGCTTGAAAAGCACGCTCCATTTCCCTGAATTGTCTAAAATGCATTTAGAGCAACTGCGATGTGCCAGTTCAGAGTTACGCCATGCGCTATATTATTATTATCAGCATCATGAAAGTATGCACTGACTTAAAATTGGATTTAAGTAGGCTACGTCTGCGTTTCTTTATTCATTATATGGCGTGCCATTAATTTGCTTAATTTTTCAAACTAGAAATTTCCTTAGACACAATAAATGAAGCAATATTTTCAACGAGAACGTAAAATTTAACTTAGTATGCATCTAAATACACCTCGAAAAGCGCATTGTTTGTGCACGTATATTTTAAAGTACCTACCCGTGTGTGTGTATACCATTTCAAAGGTACATATGGCTTAGTATTTACCCTACATATGCTTTCATATACATACATACATATTCCCTACTCGAACATTATAAAAACAGGAAGTTACGTAAACCGCGCACAATCTCCGCTTAACGCTACCCATCTGTGTCTTTATTTAGAAAACCGCAAAAGAAGATATATGTATACCTACATACATATATAGAAAGTGAAAAATGAATACGCTTAAATAAAAATGCGAGAAAAATGCGAATATAATTCCCCTTCCTTTGCATAGGATAATCCGCTACCTTGCCACTATCTGCCAGCCACAGCAGCACGTGCGTGTGCATACAAACTATGTATACCCGTACATTGCACATACATATGTACACACATAAGTACATTGTTTGAATTTGCTCCGCTTAAGTAACATCACATTTTTCTTTTAACAGCTGCTGGCATTTCCTTTCGCCTCTTTCTTTGCACACATTCATATTTTTTTCATAATTCTATACCATTTCTACAATCGCCATTCTCTCTCCAACCAGCTTTGTTTAACGCATCTCTTTGTTTACTCATAAACGCGCAAATCCTATCCGGGGAAGTAGGTTGCGCAAGGTCCGCTGCTGCGGCGAGTAGTGCATTCGCTTGGCATACCAAATAGTTGCTAGTCGCTCTTCCCTTCTTCGCACTACTCAAGGCACTATATGTTACTTATTTCATTGCGGGCATACACTCCGTCCAACTTAAAAGCGCATGCTACTGAAAAACCAAAAACCACTCAGCACCTCAAATCGCACTGTGGTACTTTAAAGGGTGTACACTAGGGTGGAACCAAAGAAAGGTTTTAAATGTTAAACTCTCGTCACCTAGGATATTTTTTTATGAAAAATACGAATACCCGCATTTTTTATTATTTATTTATTAGCAGTGGGATTCAGGAAATTAATAATCCCTTGGAAATTATAAGGTCTTTAAAAAAATCATGCGGTCAGAGAAATGCGCATTTATATGCAGTTAATTACATGCAATATGAGATTGAATTTTATAAAAAAATGCAAACATTGAATGCACCATAGAAATATAGACAAATCTGGTCGGAATAGCAAGCTTTTTTTGTTTCTGCCACTAGTATTATAAAATTCCTTCAACATGAAAATAAATTTTGTGACTTAATTTGTTTTTGCATCGAGCTTTTTTCGACTTACCTTAAGTTACTTTATCAGATATGTAAACGCTTAAGTATTATTAAAAGCATATAAATTGAATTATTGTATTTTGTTTTGTTACTTATGAAATAGTTTTCACATAAAAAAAGCAAGTGCGCCTGGGCCACACTGGAGAAGTGAAACTTACGTTACATAACTATTTTGTCTCATAACCAATATACATACATACATCTGCTTTTGCTTAAGGTTACATTTTTTTCTATCTAGATACTTAACTCCACCCCTGTTCATTCTAATAACATTTATTTTATTCCGTTTTCCTTTTTCTTACATTTTATCTTTATACTTTATCGATAAAAAAATCGATAGTAACATCCAACAAAATATCGATAACAAAACCGATAAAAATATCGATGACAAATTCGGTAAAAATTTCGATAGCCAAATCGATAAAAATATCGATAACAATATCGGTACACAATCGGTAACAAAATCGATTAATAATCGATAACGTTTCTGGCAAAAATATCGACGACAGGTTAGATCAAAATTTCGATAGCAAAATTAATAATAATATGGGTGGCAAAATCGATTAGAAAATCGATAAAAATATTGATATCAATATCGATAGCAAATCAAATAACAATATCGATAACCAATCAAATAAAAATATCGATAACAAAATCGTTAAAAATATCGATTACAACATCGATGACAATTTTGTTAAAACTAACGACAACAATATCAATAAATATATCGATTATTATATAGATAAGTTCCAAAAATATCGATAACTAAAACGATGAAAATATCGATTGATAAATCGAAAATCCAACAAATCTTTAAAATCCCAAAATAGTTCCCAGATTAAGTCTCCGTGTTTCTATCTAAATATATCCTTGTATATATAATTACCTTTATTTTAATCTTTCTTCCTCTATCTTCATCTTTACTTTTATCGGTATCCTTTTCTTTATATTTATCTTTGTTTTTACTTTAATGCTCATCGTTTTCTTCATCTACATCTTCCCCTTCACCTTTGCCCTTATATAAGTATAATGTTCAGATTTACATTGGTCTTCAATTTTGCCTTTATCCTTACGCATCTTTGTTTTTTGTTTTTATTTTTACTTTTGCCTTCATTCTTTTCTTTATCTATGTACGTACTCAGCTTTACTTTCATTCTTGTATTGACCTTTTTCTAAGTGTTATTCTTTAACCCGTTATTAGAAAATTTTTCTTAAATTAATACCATGTTCATACACTCAAGAAACACCATTTTCGTGTGCAATTTCCGTTGAGTTTGCCAATTTACACCAAACCAGCCAATTCCGCTTCAATAAAAAGTAGGTTCCAAACCCATTTACTTATTATTTATTATATAGTAGGAGAGCTCCTCAAACAAAATTGATGAAATATTTTCATGTTACGTGGCTGCAAAATAATAAAAAATCTCGGGATCTTAAAAATCGAAAATATTAACATCCCTAGTCAGCGCCTTCTCTCAAGTGCTACTAACAGTTCCTTAACGACAACAACCCAAAGCTACGACAAAGGAGCTCCACCTGGCGAAATAGATGTATATATTTGTGAACCCCACGCCACCTACAGGCAAAGTTTTTTATGGAGGTTTTTCTGCCCATGTAAGTAAATAATATACATACGTCCTAAATATGAACCAACATCAAAATCAAATATCTAATGTTGAATAAGAAAAGTACACTCGTGGAACAAAATTGTGTCAATCAGATCCTCCCTGCTTAATTTTCTGCACTGCATCTCAACATCTAGTCATTTACTCAGTAGTAAGACCGCTGCGCAACAACAACCGCGTACTGCCAATGGCAACAATTAAGTGGGTGCTAGTTACTCCACAGCCTATCACATGCAGCGAACTACCATGTCAGCGCAGCCAGTGTCAACGCGGTGTTAGTTTTCACCAGCAGCCGCACCTACAGATACTTACATATGTACATATGTACATATGCATACGAAGTTGCAGTACCACCAAGTAACTAGTAGGCAGTTGTGGTTGCTGGCGGCCTGAATTTGTCACACGCATGCAATATGCTACTTACTATCTACTCTACGCTGCATGGTTGCTGCATTGCGGCGCTGCTGGTCGGGCGATGTGGTTGAACGCGTGCTGGGCTGTGTGGGGTAGATATTGCATTGTGTGTTATATAATTGGTACAAATGTATGTAAGTCGGGTACCTTTTGCGCTCAAAATTAAGAGTTTGCTGCTTTACTAAGCAAGAATTTCATATGAAAAGAAAATACCACCGGCAATTTCCCTTCTCTAAGGCTTACCACCGTGCCTACTAGGGATGTTTTGAATGTCATACTTTACTTATTAGCGAATGCGAATGTTAGAAACAACATTAAAAAAAGCTGTAATCAATTTAAGTCATCGTTTTTAGCACTTAAAAATTTTGTAAATTATTACAACATTGAACGAGTGCTTAACCTATAGTCTTTTAATCTGTGTAGTAGTCAAGATTCAAAACGGGCATATTATTAAAAAAAAAGTAATTTTGCTGCCTTTTATCCCATGAGGCGATTTCTTAGAGGCTCTTATATAAGTCCGGCTGCACTGAACAATTGCTCACTTGGAACGCTGGCTGGTTTAGCGCTCAGATATTTGCGGGCCAGTTCTGGGAATTCGTCGTATTTTAGTTTAATTTACCACCAACTGACAGGATTTTCAATGAGATGAACTCGTTTTTCTTTAAGACCTTCAATTGAGATTTAGTTTCACATTTTTTAATGTCTCCAGATTCTACATTCGAGCCTTCGCTTTCGCTGGCGGAATCTAAAATTATTTCTAGGTTGCTAATAAGACTTTTAGCAGTACTTGCTGAAGCCCCATCAATGTTGCTTGATATACTTATTAACCCTTTTGCGCCTGAAGCTAAATGCTGGTTATTGTGCGCACCCTGGTTAGACAGACTTTCAATAATATTAAAGTGGACTCTTTGCCCATGTACTCATTTGCATTCGCAAAACAAGCGCATCATTTCATGCGAATGCGAATGTCGAATGCGAATGCAAATATTCTCAACATCCCTGGTGCCTACATATATGTATGTTATATTATATGTATATGTTGCATACTTACTTTCAACTGAAACTAAAATTCTAAACAATTGTTTTTATTTTTTATGTGCCACCACATCATGCGTGTGCGGGCGTTGGAGACAGCTTGCATTAAATGTAATCCGCTGTGCGGCGCACTGAGTATCTACACTTTGAGTCTAAAGTGTGTATGCTCGCTTGTGCATGCTCAGATTTCTTACAGCCACTGATACCGACCAACTCTCTCCTTGCCTGTGGTTTGAGTTTCTTTATGTACTTACATATATATTTTGTATACTTTGTCGTACTTTTTCTTTATGCTATAGTTATTTACTTATTTTGGCTTTTTAT